GCTCTAGTATCAGTACCTTTTAGTTATCTCACATTTTTTTTTCTCTGTATTTTGTCTTTCACTCCCCTTCCCTTACTATTGTAAGCCGCCCTGAGTCCCCTCAGGGAAAAGGGCGGCCTATAAATGCTAAATAAAATCAAAATCAAATAAAATCAAATCTTCTCCATAATTTAAAACTATTATACAATGATAAGATACTGATACTAGAGCATTCTAGCATCCTCTGAAATTATTGAACTCTTGTTCAATAATTCACAGCATTTCAATGCTTTAAGTATATAGAAGATAACTATCTTGAGATATTCCATGTCAGATATGTTACTTTTTAAAATGATGAAAGTCCCTTTGCCTTTAATCAAAGTAATAAATGTCTATGTTACCATATACTTTTGCTTTTACCTTTAATAAAAGTGTTACTTAGGGAGGATTATGATAGCATTGAAAAAAATCTGATCTAGTTTTAGACTTTGTGTAGCAGCTGTCTAATGGCAAAAGCAAGAACTGCAGTTCTCCCTGGCTGTCTGACTTCAAAGCTGACTGAATTTTTCAGTTTCACTAAGCTTCAACTTATTCCATCAATGTTTATGAATATTTACACATTTTGTTTTCTATATATTAAAATATAACAATATTTTAAATTTAACAAATTAAGTGGATTAAAGAAATATTTGCTCTTATCTTTAGATTAAGTGATGAATAATTCATTCTGAAACAGGAAAAAAAATACTAGTGCCACCAAAACAAAATGAACGTGATATTCACACAGTGAAATGGACATCATAAGAATCCATATATTTCAATCTGGACACATTCAATACTTTTTATGAAGAGTCATCTGCTGAGGTTACACATGGTACTCCATATACATTGTTTTGGATTGATCTTGAATTTAAAAATATAATTTACTTATTTTGATGACCTTCACATATTATATTAATAGACAAGGCATACAAGCAGATACCATGCCACCACAACCTATTTTTAATACTATTTTTGTGTGTGAGTGTGTACATACACAAATATAGTTACTGTATAATTAAAGGGTTAATTTCCTCTTCCCTCATATTGTAATCCAAATCTTGATTAAATTGTTTTGATTGCTGTAATTATAAAATTCTGTTTCTGTTCAAATATAGTTGATGCTAACCCTTATGATTATCTAATACTGGCCATAGAAGCATCTACTCCAGAACTTTCGGTTAACTGTTCTATCTTCTGTCTGGCTAGCACTGCTGTATTCATAGAATTTTAGAGTTTATTAGTTTTAAATGTGCTTTGTAATACTTTTAAAAATAATTAATTGGATTAACCGTTATGGACAGAATTTACCCTTACATAGAATTTATCTTCAGGTTAGAGCTGATCAAAAGATTAAAATGTGGGATATACAGCTTTCTATCATTCAAGCAGTGCATTTAATGCATATGTAAATCCTCAATCAAGAATTAAAAGCAAAAAAGAAAGAGAGAGACAGATAGAAAGAGATCTTATCCCCATGCCCTATAGTGCTGTCCTCTGGGAATTGTAATAGTACCTTGAAGAATCGCTTCACTGCTGCTATTTTTAATATCTTCTTGTCTGTATGTAAAATGGTACTGGAAAGATGTTTTTGTTCATTCTTCCTATTGTTAGTAGTTAATGTTTTAAATAGATAGGGAAAGAGACTAAAGCAAAGGTTTACGAAAACTGTTCAAAATCCAAACCTGAAAGGAATGTAGGGACCATAATATTTCGTGTGTGTGTGTGTGTGTGTGTGTGTGTGTGTGTGTGTGTGTGTGTGTGTGTGTGTTCATAGATTTTCACG